CAGGTATTTCCTGAATTGCTCTGAATCTCATATTTTCTCACTATTTTACGGCACTTTCCAGTTCTTAAAAATCTGCCCAATTTGTGTTTGATAATTTTTAAAAATATTGAATATGTTTTCATATGCATCATATTTACTGATAAAGGGGCTGGCTCAGTATTTCACCACATTCTCATAACCACCACCACTCCCCACCCCCACCAATTCCACGTTAACAGGTGTGCAGGGAAGCCAAGGCACCTTGGGTATTATTTAATGTCGCTGAACCTTTATTTCTTAGCTTTAAAGCGATGACAGCCGTATCTCTTGAGGATATTGTGAGAATTACGTGGACTAGTGGGGACCTCGTGTGACGTGCTGTCCAAATGATACTTTTAATTATTTCCTTTTGTGCAAAGCCCATTTGCCCATCGATGAAAAGGAGGAATTGGAGTCACCGGTCTCCAAGGCGTTCACTGTTTTTGGACCACCCTGAGCTTCCCATGACTCTGAGCACAGTGATGGCTCCGGGTGGGCTGGGGGAGAACCAGGGACTGACTTCCTGCTGCATCCTTCCTCTCCCATCCAACTCCAACCAAACTGAGCCTCTGACCGAGCACTGTCTGTACTCAGCTGTCTCAAACGTGCTCAATGCTTTGGAAGCCCTGTCGTCTTGTTTTTCTTTTCTCCCTACTTCATTCTTTGGACTTGTTTGATGTACTTCGACCTGGAGGAGTCCTTATGTAATCTGAATGCTCCTTCGCCACACTGCCTGTGGGTGCAACGAGGTCACAGTGATCCGTGTGCCTGGTTCCTGGTACTGGCGAGATCATTTCTGGGAACTTGAGGCCATCATCCCCCCTCCGCCACCCCCTCACCTTCCCATGGCTCCTCCCATCCATCTCAGGCAGTGCCTGGGGTGTCATGATGCTCTCATGAATCTCTTGGCTCTCGTCATCTGCTGACGCTGCTCGCTTCTTGGCGGCGCTCCCATTGTCACTCTGCTCAGGTGGCTTGTTGAAGTGTGGCCACCACCCGTTGCTCTGGATGACTATTTGCTGAGCATCTGCAAAACAGGAAAGGAAAAGGCCCCTCTCTTCTGTGATTCCCTTACAGCATGTTGGAGCAGAGTTGCTTGAACCCTAAGACTTTGCTGCTCACTTAACTGTGCATATACACAGCCCTTTCTCTGTGGAAGAACATCCCAGCCACCAGCAAGGCTGGGCAGACTGAGTGCACAGAGTGGAGGTCTCGCCCTGTGCAGAGTCCTTTCCATCAGCTGCTCAGGTCCCATGTCCAGATTGATTCAATGGTGCCTGGAGTTCCTCACCACAATCTGGCTTCCATGAAGACCCCATCAATGTCACCTGTGTACGTCCAAATCCCAAACTTTTCTCAGGAAGAGTCTTAGCCCTGCATATGTCAGTCAACATAGATAGACTCTGAGTGGTATGGAAGGGGAGAGTGCAGGGAACCCAAAGCCTCATCCTGGATGTACAGTTATACCCGAAAAGCATGCTAACGTGGGCGAAAATCCTCTCTCCCATTCTTCATGTGAGGAGCATTTTTAGGTAGGTTTAGGGTTGGAGTTTGTGGGTGTGTGGTGGGAAAATGAGCTGGCCTTGCCTCTGGGGAGAATTTTTCCTTTCTTTTTGTTTATTTATTTGGAAGATAGCGTCATAGGATGAACATTGAAGGGAACAGGAACTCTGGAGTGTTTTCTAGACAGAGGTGAAGGAAAAAGCTGGGAAGTCCAGTAGCGGGAGAAGGTGAATGAACCAGACCACCTGTTCCCACAAGCAGGCTGTGGAGATCACCAGTGGTTCCCCATCACGGCCCCTTCCGCAGCTGTCATGTGGATGCTACTCCGTGAAGGACAGTGGTCCAGAATCAGGAGAAAGGGACAGAGAGTGGATGGTGTGAAGGTAGGGGAGCAGGGTTATGTTTTCAGATTGGTTTTGAGGATGAAAGAAACATGAAGAATTAAGACAAGCCTCGAAATTACTGTGTCCACCTTGGGAAGATAGGACAGAGAAGACCCCTCTCCCCAAGGAGAAGCCAGTGTGGGGATCATCCATCCGGCACCCAACACTCACTCTGGAACACACCTGGATCAGGGAACTGGCAATGGAGATGCCTGATGATGTCGTGAAGGAAACCTTCTGGGGCTCCCAGCACAGAGGGTGCGCCTGGATCAGGAGTGGTGTGAGAGAATGGAGAACTCGGAGTCTGGAGTCCTTGCTGAGAAAGAACAGACAGGACCCAAAGAGGGAGTAAATGCCAAGAAAAGAGAAAAATGAAGAGCGATGACTGTGCCGTCCTAAGGCTAATTGAGCTGCCAGCAGTAATAGGGAAAGTGGAAAGGGGCTCTGGTTTGGAAGGAAAGATAACAAGCTCTGCTTTATACAAGTTTTGTTGCAGGGGTTGGAAGGTCAAACAAATAGAGATCTTCCATGGACAATAAGAAATATGAGATGGGAGAGGGCCAAGGGGTCAGGGTTTGAGATGGACGTTGAACGGCCCTAGGATAATGGGAACAGGGCAGAGCTGCTTAGATAATTCATTTCTCTGCTTAAGAAGTATTCCCTGGGTGCCTACTGTGTGCTAAGCATGGATCTGAGACCTGGGGATGTTGCAATGAATCCGGCAGGGCAGGCATCTTGAATGATTTGTGTAGATGAAGAGAGTGAGAGATGTCGGCTCCAGGGGAAAGAGCGAGCATCAGGCTGAGAGGTCAGCCTGTGACGCAGGAGGCCAGGAGAGGAATGAATAGCATGATGGATCAGGTAAGGCCAGAGTTGACCCACGTGTAACATGAAATCCAAATAAAGTGGCCTAAATAAAGGAGGGGTGTATCAGTCCCTCCCAAAGCAAGGAATGTGGATGTGACAGCAAAGCACTGTCACCAAAGGACTCCACCAAGTTACTAAAGACCCAGGCAACCCACCCCTCCAAAGCCATATTGGTAACTGCCCACATCATGTGATCTGAAGGTCAACCATGGTCCCTCTGTCTCCAACTTCAAAACTCTATATTTCTTCCTTCTCTGGTTTAAGGCTGTGTTTTTCAAAGTATATTCCGTGGAGCCCTAAGGAAATTTGGAGGTACCTCAGGGGCAGCAGAGGGCGCTGGTCCTCACACACACTTGGCCACATAAACAATGATATATGATTAGACATATTTGACACATGCCCTGAAAAAGGAGTGTTTCCTGGAGATCAGATTGCCTGAGCAGCTCTTTTCTAGAGTAAGCAGGGGCTCATTTGCTGAGACCACTACTGCCAGAGGTGTGCTCTACCCAGGCCCCTACTGGTGTGTGTGTGTGTGTACACATGTGTACATGCATGCTACTCATGCCCAACTGACTTGTGTGCACTCACCTGTCCATCTCTCAGTGCCATGTGCCTTTTCTCCCCTCCGTGACCTGAGCCCTTACCCATTTGAAACCTGGGTCTTCTTTTAGATTCTTGGCCTAAAACACAGTATCACATTGTAAATCCATTTAGGACTTGCAGTTAAGGGGCATTTGAGGTGGGGCGGGAGGAGCAGAAAGGGAAAAGGAGGAACGTAGCCCAGAGAAGAGACACAGGGTGCCAAGACATGCTTGCTTCCAGAGAAGAAGTCTTTGGAGAGAGTTGGAAAAGACCTCAACGTTTGTTGAAAGAGCAAATTCTGGGCCTGACTCTGTTCCAGGGGCTTTCCCATAATTGTCTCATCTTTGTACCAGCTCTGCAAGGTAGGTGATTTTAGGCTCATTCTATAGGCAAGGCAACATGCCTCTGTTTATAGATTTAGTTACTGTGACAGCCAAAAGAGAACACATGTAAGAGAACGTTACAAACCAGAAGTGCTGTCCATGTGTGTGGGTTGTTGGCACTGGCTAACCTTCTAGTTGACCAACTTAAGGAAACTCACTCACCCTCTTTCTGCCTCTAGTCTGATGATTAGGAGAACGAACCATGGAAGGGAGAAGGCCCAGGGTGATGTCTCTAGCCCCAGGGAATAATAAGATGCAAGGGCTCCTCTACCAGCCTCCAGACCAGCAGTGTAGAAAGATAGGCAGACTCGGGTTTGAATCGCAGGTGCACTGTATACCTCTGGCTGCCTGCTTAATCTCTCCAAGCCTTAGTTTTACATCTGTATAATGCGATCTATAATAGGACCCACCTCGTGGGGTTGTTGTGAGGAGTAAGTCAGTGAACGCATGTAAAGAACTTTGTGGTGTCTATCATATCGAGAAGTCTCAGTGGCTGTTAGCTTTGGTTATTATCGTTTACAAATGGGGAAACTGAGGCACACTTTTTCCAAATCCCAACCTGGGAGAGGGATGCTTCAGCAGACTTTGGACTGAGATCCTTGGAGTACAGACTGATCCACACCCCCCTTCCTCCCCTGCTTATGGCCCAGCTCACTGGAGCCCCTTCTGTTGTTTACACATGTTGTGTGGGAAGTGTCATTGTGGGAGGGCATGTGAGTGAGTCTTTATGGCCTGAGGAGGGTTTGGAGTAGTGTTTCCCATCCCCAGGTCTCATTTCCTAGTCCAGAAACATTTATTCTACTCCTCACTCTTCTCCCCTGTAGTGCCCCCCTGTAGTCCTCCCTGCCCTCTCCCTTTGTGAAGGGTCTGTTTCTACTCTTAGCTTTGAGACTAACAGCTGGGAAATTTTTTCCATCCCAAATTTCTAATTTTAGTCATTTATAACCGTCTCAAAAGTTATCCAGAGGGATGAAATGTCCCTTATTTCATCACAGCCCCCAGATAGGATCTTTAAAGTCTTTCTACCTTTAACTTTGAAAAAAATCCATGGAACTATTTTTGAGGCAGGGAAGCATGAATGAGGGCCTATGACAGAGAGAGAGAGAGAGAGGTGGAGGGATACGTAAGTTTTTATTTATTTTTTTCCCGCTCTGCTTGGCATGTGGGATCTTAATTCCCTGACCAGGGATCGAACCCATGCCTCCTGCAGTGGAAGCGCAGAGTCTTAACCACTGGACCACCAGGGAATTTCCAAGTAAGTAAGTTTCTTTCTTGGCTGATGTACCCAGAACAACCAGACACTATGGATTAGAGTCAAAGTCCTCTGGGGGTGGTGACTGGCCCCAATGTGGGGAACCCCCAGGAGCCGTGAGGCTGAGACACTGACCCAAACCTGAGACTGGTCAGGACATAACAAAAGAGGCGTGGAGTAGGTGGGGTGTGTCTCTCAGGGGCACAGATCTTCCAGCAGCTTGGTCATGGTACTTTCCCCAGAACTGAAATGTGCGTGTCTCAAGTACCTCCTAGTGAAGAATTTGAGTGGAACTCTCCTGCCTTGGTGACTTCAAAAGACCCCAGGAAAATGTAACCCATTTACTCATATTAGCCATTAACATTTCAACCCAGAAGAGTTTACAGAACCCAGGATATTGGAGTCTGAGACGAGCAGGAAGCAGCGGAGCTGAGGAAAGAGACGGGGCCCAGTCCAGGACCAGGTTTGGAGGCACTGGTGACCCAACGACTTGGAGGAGAGGAATGCTGAACTATTGGATGGACAGATTTTGTATGGTCTTCACGTCCTCCTTGGGCCAGTCCATTTTTTTTAAGACCAAAGGCCTGGAAACGGAGGTGGGTTGGATTGTGAAAGAGATGAGAAGGGAGAGAAATCAGGATATTCTACAAAGGTCAGTATGTTAAAAGGCAAAATCTAGAAGACATAATCCGAAGGAACTCATATTTGATAGTGAAAAGTCAAGGGTTCCAGAAATAGCACAAAGACAAAGAAATACTGGCTGTGCCCAGGCCATAGGAACAGACATTCATACACACAAAACTGGTGCCAAGCCGAGTTCTTGGCTGGACTAACCAGCGACAAGGGGTCTGCCTTCTTCGAGATCCTTTGAAATCTCTTTCTGTTGATGCTGAGGGGCCTTCCAGGAAGGAAGAACAGTTCAGACACCCTTGAGGCAGACTTTGAGCTCTGCCTCCCACTCTCACCAACTCAGCCTCAGTATACTTGACTCTCAGGGCTGAAGCCAAGTCTTCCAGTTGGAACCTCTCACCTTTAGGGGGTGGATGCCCCTCATGCAGAGCCTGAGCTCAGAGAACAACATGGCTGTGGGTGTCATGACTTGCATCTGCCAGTGTTATTTTATTTTCTCCTCTCCTGGCCTGCACGATCACCCTCTGTGTTTAAACAAACAAAAAAAGTTAGAAGGACGATGACAACTACAACAACTAAAGAGAGTATTCTCAGTGTCTTGACTCTCACCTGTCTGTGGGTTCAGGTGATGACACCTTAATAATAATTTTGGAGCTTGCTAACTTGGACTCCCACTTCTCCGTGCAATCTTTTCCTTCTCTCAAACATTTCTGTACTACCCAAGGGGTAGTGTCTATAGGCATTTTAGTTTGAGCTGCTATGGTGCTGACTTCTGTTATTTTGGTCTGTCATCTCCGCTGGTCAGCAAGAGCCTTTGCTCTTCCCAGAAATGCCAACACTGGGGCCCTGTCATCCGAAGCCACTGTTCAACCACTAATGCTCTTAGGAAGTGAGAACATTGTACCCTCTGTGCTCAGTTGGGGGAAATCTCCAAGCAGGGCTGCCTATACCCCCAAAGAATCAAAATTTACTGGAATACCTCTTTCAATTTACAGACACACAGAGCTATTTTTTCCCTTGTGTCCTCAAGGTAGCTGATTTGGGACAAGTTCCTGAAGTAACTCATGCTGCACACGATACCATGACCCTCTAACCCTTGGTGCTGCCATTGAGTCCGGCTTGCTTTGAAAGATTTTCTTCCTAATGGTGAATTATCTTACGAGGTCCCTGTCATTCCTTCCTACAAGTGGGCTTCCAGGGGGAACCACCCAAGAGTTCATCAGACATGTTTTTTTATATACAGACTCCTACAGACTCAGTTCAAGATATTTCTGGGAACCATCTCAGCTCTGCTCTAAGCAAGGACCCAGACGGATTCTTGGGAGAGATCTATTTCTCAAGTCCATCTACCAGATTGTACCAGAGTCTCTGCTTTGTCTTAACTGGGAGACCCTGTTATTCCAGTTAACAGCATTGACTAGGCAGATAGCCCAGGGTCAGAGCTTTCCTGAGGACCAACTCTGCTGAGAACTGGCAACCAAGGAGAGTTACTCTGACTTATCCTGACACCACTGTGAGGCCCAGGACCACCTTCTCTACCCATGGGCTTAATGAATCACAATGCCAGGCAATACACTCTCCCAAGTCCCTGTACCAAGTTATCCCGTCACTCAAGATCTCCAGCCTTCATGGAAATACTCTCTTCTCTCTTATACAGAAGAGGACCTCAGGGTCCCAGAAGCGAGAGAGATTTTTGCTTCAATCAGCATGACCTAGAATGCAAGGAAGCTGTAACCATGTTCCAGAGTGGATGTTCCTAAGATAAGGCAAAGATCCCTGTCTAAGACCCATGAAGTCTCACAAAGTGCCTTCTTCTTGGTCACTTACTACTTGCAGGCCATGCATATGTCCCTCATCAGTTTCTTGTCATAATACCCTCACTGCCCATGATTTTTCCTCTCTTTTCCTTCCTTCCTGTATCCCTTCCTCCATCCCTCCCTTTCCTCTCCCCTTTCCTACTAATTAAATACTTACTATATACCATACACTCTGCTGGATACTAGAAGGATGAGAGATGGGTAAGACATTGTCCTTGCCCTTGAAGGGCAAGCACATCATACGGTGGGGAAGGCAGATGTGTACACAATTAACTATAATAAAATATGTTGAGTGATATAATGGAGTCCTGCCCAAAGTGTCATGGGAGCACAGAGGAGGGAGTGAAGGAGCCGCCTTAGAGGTCAGCAGGAAAAGCTTCACAGAGAGGGTGATTTCTGAGTTGCCTTTTGAGGAGTGAATAGGAATTTTCCAGATGAACAAAGACAGGAAGGGCATATATCAGGCAGGGGGAACGGTGAGAGTCTGTCATGGCCAGAGCAAAGTGTGTGGATTGGGTTTGAGAAACATTTTGAAAAGATAGCTGATAATCGGGGTGTGATGGGCTCTGAGTATCATGCTGAAGAAATGGTATTTTATCTAGTATGTGCTAGAAAGCCAGGCACAGGATTGTTCTTTCCAGGACATTTTTCGGTCTGACAAGGCTGACAGAGCCAGACTCAAGGTGGGCAATGACAATGTGTATATACTAGTGGTTAATCAATTAACTGATCGAATATTTATTAATGGTCAGTGTGCACCAGGGTCTGTGTTAGATACTGTGGAAGTGCAAAAGAAGCATCATGATTAGATCATGAGGTCATGAGGGGTTCACACTTAGAAAAATTTGAGGGTAAGAAGAAGGAGTACAGTATGAGATCATGTGGTTGAATGGCTGTGAGTCAAGGGCGGGAGAGAGCAGAGAAGACTGAGTGGGTTTGAAGGATCAACAAGAGGCCATTCTTCACTCCAGAAGCCACATGGGCAAAGAGATGCATTGAGCATGGTGTGGACAGTGCAGAATCTGGCCTGTCTGGACACAGACTTGGAAAGAAGATGGATTCAGACATGAAGTCAGGTGAAGGAGGGCCTTGAAGTCAGGTAGAATAGTCTAGAACCTCTGGGTGAGGAGGAACTTTTAAAGCCTTCTAGAAAAACTCTTCCTACCTTGCTAATCTCACACGTGGGTCTCTTTTATGATAACCCTACCTGTGATCATCAATCTTTGTTGAAATATATAAAGAGACAGGAGCAGACAATTTCATCCTTAGATGTCTCTGACTGTTGGAAAGGTCTTCTAAAATCTAGCTCATGATTTCTTTTCTTTCTTTCCCTTTCTTTCTTTCTTTCTTTCTTCCTTCCTTTCTCTTTCTTTCTTTCTTTCTTTCTTTCTTTCTTTCTTTCTTTCTTTCTTTCTTTCTCTCTCTCTCCCTTCCTTCCTTCCTTCCTTCCTTCCTTCCTTCCCACCACATGGCATGCAGGATCCTAGGTCTCCAACCAGGGCTCGAATCAGTGCCCCCTGAATTGGAAGCATGGAGTCTTAACCACTGGGCCACCAGGGAAGTCCTAGCTCATGATCTCTTGTGTCCTCTGGTTCCAGACATGTCCCTCTGTGTCAATCAGCTTCTGATCCTCCTTGAGGATTTTCAAATTAAGCTCAAATGTTTAGCCTCCCTTCTTCCAGTTTGGAAACTCTCAGTTTCTTCAATCACTCTTCCACAGGGAGGCTGGAGCCTGGGGTCTCCTCCCAGTTTGGGCTGGTACATGATGCTGTTCCCCCAGGGCTGATTCTTCCTTCAGGTGGGGTCTGCTCGGTGCTGTGCAGTCTGGACACAATTGAGTAGGTGGTGACCAGCCTCTGTCAAATGACTTAGTGGAAATGTTGTTTTGTGAAGATGAGTCTGGCCTCAGAGTTCAGGGTTGGGGGCAGGTGAAACCTGGGGGACCTTGGCAGGAGTCCAGGCATAAGAGCTAGATCAGGGTGATGCTGGGTCAGGGGATGAATAGGCAAGAGTGAAGCCAGGGGACATTTCAAAACTGATAAATGGGAGAAGAGACAATGATGACTCTAAGTTTTCTGATCTGAGAGCTTGGGAAAATGGCAAATGTATGGGCAGAAATGGGGCAGAGGAAGGGTGGCTGACTGTAGGGATGAAACTGAATGTGCCCCAAGAGCTGGGCCCTTATACTGAGGTGCTTAGAAGTGGTTGCCAATGTGTCCTGGGAGCCCAGGAGTGTGGTCAGACTAGAGATAGCAGTTTGGAGTCATGAAAGGCAGGAACCTGTATAGGGAGTGAAAACACACAGAGAAGGAGTGAGCCCCCAAGAAAGCGCCCATAGAAAGTCTACGGTGGATAGATGGGAGGGAAAAAAGACACACAGGAGGGATACAGGCAATGAGCTGTCAGAAGTAGAGCAGTGTCAACGATGCCAGAGGAGTAGGGGGCTTCCAGAAAGAAGTGGTCAGTGAGATCAAATGCCCAGGAGGACAAAGAAAATGAGGCCACCCTCTTACCCAGGGGGAGAAGGGGGACCAGCCTCAGTAGGATGGAGGGGGGCAGAGCAGCCCTGGAGGAGATGCAGAACAGACTGGGTGGTTACCCCCTCCTCACACCGTCACACTTAGACGTGCATTTCCCCAACTACCCTCAGCTCACCACCAGCCCCTTTGTCTACCTTCCTACCTTCTCTCCCAGTTTCCATGCCGGCCCACCAGCGGTTTCTTAGGTGGCATGGCTGGGTCACTTCCACAGGGCAGGAGGCTGGGCTGTCCCACTGTGGGGTGCTGCCCCTCAGGCTGCCCAGCCCCGCTGTGAAAGCAGCATGAGCTGCTGGTGCAGGAGAAGAACTAAGGTGCTGCTCTGGCAATGATAGCCTCGTAGGCCCCCAGGGATGCAGCTGAACTGCCCACATCTATTTTCCTAGACAACCAAATGCTGCAGTTCCCAGAGGGCAGAGGGTGAGCTCAGAGAAGCTCCACCTCCAGCTCTTCCTGGTCAGCCCTGTCCCTCCCAAGGCTCTCCAACTTCACCCTGCCCTCTGCCCTCCCATCCCCCACATCCCCCTCACCCCCCAACCAGTGCCTCCCATTAACGCCCTTCTTCTGTCTCCCCAGCACTGAGCAGCCATCTTTCCCCTTGTCCATCAGTTTCTTTCTGCCCAGGAGGTCATCCCAGGCTATGCCAGGGGCAAATGTGTCTGCCGAGGCTAAGGGGCTATCTTCAAGCTTCCCCGGCAGAGACCCCAGAATTCTCGTGACCAGGGAGGCAGGTTAGGCCAATCCTGCTTCTCCCAGGATGCACTGGGAGCCTGGGAACCAGGAGGGAGGGAGGAGGCTCAGCTGAGGAGCTCAGGATTTAATTCTATGCATCATTAAGTAGTCCTCTGAAAGTAGTGTCCCCCTATACATCATCCATGCTTAGTAAACAGCACGCTGACATTACATTAGCGGCTGGAAATGAATTTTCTCTTTTATAGGGAAATTGAGAATCCGCCAAGAAGAAAGAAAGAAAGAAGAAAAAAACCCTCAAAACCAATTATCTAGGCATTTATGAGTTCCACACTGGTCCCTTTCTCTCTCCTCTCTCACTCAGATGCAAAGAAGCATTTAATATTTAATATATTAAGAAAAGAAAGAAACTTTGATAGATTATGTGGGATCTGGCATTAATTCCCTCTGCCCCTCCTTACTTTCTCGTTCTCCCCTCCT